ACCGTTTCCTGTTCTCATATTTACCAGGTGTGTCTGCCCTGGTTCTCTTGGCTGCATGTCCGTTGGTCGCCAGAGGCCGAGCCGCACCGGGGCTCCACTCTGCTGTTTCATTTTCCTCCACCTCTGCTGCATCATTAACCATCTCTGCAACAGAAAGGAAAAATGAGAAATTTTGTACATGTCCAGTGCATAGATATCGCATTTCACTGTTAATGTGCAGAGCCAAGGACATTCAGTTATTTTTCTCCAAGTTTAAATTATTCCATCCACCGGTTGATGCATCATTAAATCCATCTGGATGCTCTCCACACCACGTATTTTCATCTAAATGGCAATTATTAGATGAAGATTCCTTTACTGACTCACAGCTTAGAAAGTTTATGGAGTTTGTCTGCTGTGACACGTCAAACTTTCCGAAAGGTCATCTAGTGAGTCTTTCACTCATCTGCAAACAGCCGCCTCTTCTCACAATCCATTAATTCAGTTCAGGGTTAGAGACATTCCTTAATTAGCATGTAAACAGTATGGATTTCAGAGGTGTTAAAAAGGAGAGTCCAAAAACAATAGATATACATAGATTCAAAAGAATATTGTAAATTACTTGGTAATGTGTGAACATTTTTGTGTTTTTCACTAAAAAAGTTAGAAAATTATTTGTCTATCAATGCCCTTGTGGGGAAAGTTTCTGGTTCAAATATTAAATGAGTTTTTTGTTTGTTTTTTTTGCATGAAAAATAACACTATACAAGTACTACCCTGTGACAATTTTCTGTTCATTTTCTTTTCTTTGCAATTTTTCGTTCATGTATAAATATGTAAAAGTAAAGTGAGAAAATGTTAAAGTCAGAGTTAAAGATGTATTTGCTCTTCTCCCTGATAAAAATATGAATATCATCTGCATCAAATGTAAAGTCAGCGTCGTCTCAATGACACACCAGCAGCTCGGGCATATGCTACAGAAATAAGCAGGAAGCTGTTTGCCATCCACCTGTCAGCGGGGGCACCTGTCCTCCAGGAGGGTCCAGAGCCAGACTAGACAGGTTGGGCTGCGTCGACATCCCTGGAGGTAGCCTGCTGCTGTTGATCAGCACATCCAACTTGGTGCTGCGGCAGGTGTTGCTGCACACGGTGTCGTGCTGGTAGAAGTCAATCTGGCCAGAGTCCATCATCTTCCTGCAGAGTGAAGCAGGTTAAAAGACAGGTGGGAAGGATCCAAAACATATTTTGCTACAAAGCTGCTGAGGTGGGTGAAAAGCACGAGGTGCTTCCAAACGATCTTGTCTGATCTGAGGCCTGCAGATATTGACTGTAGAGCTGGTGTATTGACTCACAGCAGGCACTAAGAACAAGTACAAACACGATAAAGAGGTGAGAAGTGTCACCCAGCAGCCTGTCACTTTGTTTTTGATCCAGCTGCCATTTTAAACGCTGCTTACAGACTAACTCTGGAATGTAGTGGTAAACACTGAGACTCCAAACAAGGATGTAATCAGGCTGTAATTACGCTGCATGATTGAGAAAATCTGTTGATGGAGGAGTGTGTGCGTGTGTGTGTGTGTGTGTGTGTTACCTAAGCATGACCCCTCCCAGCCTGATGGCCCTTTTCCAGTCCTTCAGAGTGGCCTTTCCTGCTATGTGTACAAACTGCTTAGGACTAATGAGTTGGTTGTTAAACTGTGAGAGAGAAAAAGAAGAAAGGAGGAAAAGAAAGAAGAGGAGAGGAGAGGAGAAGTCAAAACAATTAGTTAGAACATATAACAAAGTGCTAATTTGCTCGTCTTTGTTGACACTGAATATATCGACTCACTTTCACACATGGGACATTGATTCCAGGACAGACAAACTTCTTAAAGAGCAGAACCGCTCGGCTGTCTCCACAGGTGATGGGGTAGCCGTACTCAATTACCTCTCCATCTGCCTCACTGTCATCTAAACATCAAACACAACACTGGTCAAAGACAAGTGAGTCCACAGGAAGGAGATACCAACAGATTTTTTGTATTGAAGTTTTCCTTCTTCTTTCCCTTGGTATACAAGTACTTTTTATATACAATTAAAATTTTGCCCATGCATGTTTTTTAGGAAATATATCGCATGTTAAATTATTTTTTACATTCACAGTTAAATGTCAAATATATCGCATGTTAAATTATTTTTTTACATTCACAGTTAAATGTCTTAGTGAATGAAAAGGGAGTGACTCACCCTGATGAGTCTCAACTGCCAGAATTGTACTGCCGGAGCCTGCAATGCCAGCTTTCACCCTAGAGAGGGCAACATTTCACCACAAATAAATTACTTCTTTACTTTCACATTCTTTGATTTGATTACATTCTTTGATTACTGTAGGTTAATGCACTATACATATATACATGTAATCTAGCAACGTAGCATCGCAGCAAGCGGAAAAACATCCACACATGCCATGTTACCCGTTAAGGACTGGCTGAAGGTGCAGGATGACTTGGGTTCCGTGGTTGATGCCGCTGGACTCTCTCTCCTCCCCTTTCACCTTCATGTGCTCTCCTGACGACACTGTGACCTCAGCGCCTGCCATCACCCCGCCCTGCAGAGCTGCACGCAGAGAACGCTCAGCAAAACACAGACACGCACATGATATTCAACGCATTTATTCACGCGCATGCACGGCATGTTTTTAATACTTATCCTAAAAGCACACACTATAATTTTAAAAGGGTGTTCCACTAGAAAAGAAAATTCTAAATCATAGCCACTTCAATATCGCAGACTTTTGTCATTTTCCAAAGGTTAAAATAACAGCTGGCTTTAAATCGTTACTTTACTGCAACCAAAAAAATAATGATCATACCAAACAACCACAAAAGGGTAAGTTATTAGCATAGTATCATCTCCAAACACTTCTTTTAGGCCACTAAGTTACAAATATTACTTTTTCCACCTGTGGTATTTGTTAAGGACATGCTTTTGTTGAAGGGCAAATGCAGAAAAATTCAATATTGCTCAAATCAACAGTTACTACCACATTGTGTTTTTTCCCCCGGCTCTTCTGTCTGTGACACAAATAAAGCCACATACAAGCAGCACTAGCAGCTGACGCGTGAAGATCATCTGGTCAACAACAGCGCATAAACAAACAGAGTGGACCGGGATTCTCAGGATTAAATAAACAGACGTTTACACACGGTGGTGGATCATGTTGATTGTAAGGTGAGCTTTTTGTTTTAACATCCACACTCCTTGTCTGTGGACAGCTCCGTGTCTCTCTCTCACTCTCACACTGACGTGCGGCAGCACGCACATCCCTGTGGCGTGCGCTCCTGCTCCACAACATAGTTCGCGAACAACGCACACAATTACAGATTACTTCTAAAAAAAATTAAAACACCAACTCCAGACTTAAAACTCTAGAAAATATTACCATAAGTTTAGTTTTACTTACCGTTTTACAGCAGCAAACACTTCATCCCTGGCTCCTCAGAGTGGTGTGAGAGCATGCGCAGTGCCGCTGTACGACTACACTTCCTTCACTGAAGGCTGCGTTCGCCTGAGAAGCATCTGCGCCTCTGTCACGAGAAGCGCTAGGTTCTCACGCGATGGAAAACTCGGTCAAACTGCTCTTCTCTGACTGCGCTGGTTTAAGCCCCTGAGCTGTGGAGGCTGACAGACTGCAACCTGCCGCTACAGTGGTCGTTAGGGTGTCGATTTTACTGCCAGACGAATAAATAAGGTTTTTTTGTTTGTGTTATTTACTTATTTAGACCGTGTCTTCATTACTTGAGTTAAACCATTGACTTAGTTTGTTTTTCATGCACTTTCAATCAATCGCTTGCTGTGTTTTTGTTGTTGCCAGTGTTTCACCAACAGGGGGCAGGGTTTCCTCGCAGTTTTGAGTAAGTGCTTTTTCGACGAAGCCTAAGCCTAAGACTTCTTCTTCTACGGTGCTTCAAAATGGTTGTTGGCCGTCTTTAATGTTGCATGACTGCCGCTCTCTCTTTCGAACTTCATGTGGATCGGCAGAGAAAGAAAAGAAATCTTAACTTAACAACGTTGTCTATTTGATAAAAAATACAAAGGTAGAAAATGACACGTGTTAAAACCACAATCTGTATGACTGAAACGATTAAGGCATTATCGTCATCATTATTATTAAGAAGAAACATAGAGTGTATCCGAGTTTTATTTTATTTTATTCTATTGACTTTTTAGAAAAAATGCATAATGTGCTTTATGATAAACTTTCTTCTACATTATTTTTACATGAGTTGCCAGATGTGGCAGAGGAAAATCTTAGGTTGGTAAACCAAATTGTGCTTCTGGTGGAAATCCAAGTTTGGTGTCAGCCTAGGGTCAAGTGCTGCATCGCATCATTCTTCCTTCTACAGTAGAATACATACAGTATATATTGTATCTACCAACAAACCAATGTCACTGAAAAAATAAATACATATTTTTAGGAGATACCACGTTTACACCTTCAAAATAAAACAATATGCCATTCATTATGCAGTCAACGGCTCTGTGGGAGGTCAGGGAACAATGAAGGGGGCAGATGCACTGGAGTGACCAGTGGGGTGGTCATCAATTTTCCAAGGGTGGTCAAAACCACCCCTGACCCTGTTGAGGCGCTACTGTTTTCAAGTGGTCACAATAGGGTAGAAAAGGCCGTAATGACTACAGACGGTTACTTATTTAAAAAAACATGTTATCAATCTTGTACTTGTAATGTCAGGTCCGGTGTAAACGTGAGTAAATCATTAATGTGTGGAATACCGTAGCCACCGGCTGCTCTCAGGTCAGCACACACCCACAAATTACACCTCCCGTATATGGGAATGGAATGCTCGTTAGTGTTTGATTGACATCTGTATTAACCAATAAAAAGACGAGCCCATGTCCCGTGGCCAATAGTAAATAAGCAGTACTTTTCACCCTCAACTTCGCTAAAGGCAGAACGTCGAGGCAGCGGTGCTGTTCTTGCACCTTACTTTTCCCACGTATAGTTGTAGAAAACCATGCTTTGTTCGTGTGAAAACACCGAGGATGCTGTGAAGAGTTTAACCACCGCTTTCTGGATCATATTCAGTTTCTGTTGTCTACTTGTGGAAGGACAGGAAGGTAAGAAACGAAATCTCACGTTCAAATCAGAAGTGCGGCGAAAGACTTAATGTGAAATACCGAAAGCCTTACTTCTAATCCTAACTGTCACGAGTAACTAAAAACTGATTCGTTCCGTTCAATAATTTTAATTAAATTGTGTTCTGTGTAGATTATTGTCCTACAATATTGACATAGGCAGCGAACAGTGACCAACAACAGAGTTATTAAATATACTTAAAATCCTTTATCCTTCCTGTAAGGGTTTTACAGGTATCTAAACGTCATACATACAACCACGAATTAAAACATGTAGATATAAAAATAAACGGTAGTTTGGCTGTTCAGCTCAAATTCTTAAACATTTATATGTTCCAACTGTTGTTAATGTTTTGTTTTCGTCACATATCTACGATTTACTTTACCATCCTGATATAAACGGCTGTATAACCATCTAGTACTGCTTGCTCCATAGTTATTACAGTTCCTATGCTAGTCTTAATGCAGGGTGTCAAAGTCACATTGTTTTGTTGAAAAATGTCAATGCCAAAATGTTCAAAATGTTTTTAGTTTCCTAATTTATATTAACTTATCACATGGTTATTTGGGTGAATTTATCGTTAGTTTATAAAACTAAATACACAGAAAATAGATTTACATAACATAGAATTCTATTCTATCTATAACCGTATTTGCTGAATACCGTAGCTAAACTATAGAATTTCCCAAATTTAATATACAGAATAATTTTGAATGGTTTACAGGAAATACAGTATATGGTGGTAAGATCATCTGGATTTGGAAATCTAAAAAAGCATATCATGCATTTAGGTTATTACCTACTAATAAAATTCTAAAAAAAATCTAAAAAAAACTTTTTGCTTAACTAAAATTGAACTTTTAAATCTTATGGGAAGACTTTATTTTTAATTTTTAAATTAAATTCAGCTTGAAATGATTGCATCAGTTCTTAATTTATACTTAAAATGTAATACATACAATAATTTCAGTTTATTAATTGTATATTTCACTATATTATTTGTATAGTTCATAGTCTCCAAACACATTTTGTCATAGTTAATCTTAAAATTTTGACAGGATGTAGCCGCCTCTGTCCTTAAACCCTCCATATGATTTAGGGCCTACTCTCCAAAACCACCTTCATATTGAGAAACTGCAATAAACTTCCACAGAGAAAGGGTTCTTTTCCTGGAATGGATAGGTATAGACAATATTTTTTATGTAAAGAGAACATCAATTAGACAATTAACTCCCCATTACTTAACTACCTTATTATATTCTGATATCCTAAGAACTGTAAATATGACATTTTAACCCCATGAAAAACCTGTATTATTCATACCATGCAGGGGTGCTGTGTAGGAAAATGTAACCAGTTGGCCGTAAACTATTGCTTTTAAATGGAGTTAGTCACAGAGAAAAGCAATGAAGACCACATGGTGTGCTGTAATTCATTAGTGTCCTCTACAATTTGGGGTGACAAGCAACGATGACGACTCAAACTTATGCTTGTGCATCATAAAGAAGGGCAAAAAAGATTGAAAAAAATTATGGCGTACCACTAGCAAAAGTAAACAGAGCCGTCTCACTCATCAGAAAGAGGGAACAAGACTTTCTTAATAAATTCGTACAAAGGGAGTGTGGCGACATAAGGCTGAAACGCCTTAGGTTTACCTCGTAAACCAAGGAGCCCCTGTATTCAGGTCACTAGGCCGATATTGTATATTAAAATAAAGGAGGTGCAAAGGTTGACAGAGTTGGGTCTTGTTGGCATTCTTGACATACTCCTGTCCTGTCCATGTTTGCCCGCTGATCTTAGCCCTAAGCCTTTTCCACAGACTTTTCACAACAGCAATCAAGTCCATGAGCAGGATGAATCACACTGACCATAGAACAACAACTTATGGCGTCCAAAGACTATGACTCCCACCTTTGGCTCCACCACAGATCATTTCAGTTGTTCTTGTCTGACTATGTGGGCCTCCGTTTCCTTGCATCATAAGATGATTAAGTCTAGGGTCAGTTTTTTATTCGTGAATCACTTTTCAACTTTGCTGTAAATGTTTGAGGTGTGTGTTTGAGGTCTTGGTGTGGCCAGGATGTTGGGCAAATGTCTAAGCTTTTCTGTCGTAAGGTTCTGATTGACGCAGCCAGAGAAAGCACTGTATTGACAGGTAGTACAGGTGAACATCCTGTCTGCTAGCAAAAACCTGTAAGGACCTGTCAGCAAAGCCTCAAATGAAAAACAATGTTGCAGAGGTGCTGCAGATGGTCTCCGTCTGCTTTTCTGCCACCCAGTAAGAATGTACTTTCCAATATGTCACATTCTTCAACTGAGAATAACCTGAGAAACATCTTGTTTGATAGTGTATTAGACTGGTTTGGATGTAGACTGTAGGGGGAACTGTTCAAAAAAACCATAGGGATGTTATTAGCCACCCACAACTTCCTCAGAAATGCTGCCTCTGCGGTCTCCCAGAGGAAGGTGACAGATCCACGCTCTGCTGACCACTGTTACAGTTCAGGCCTGTGGCATTTCCAAGGGATCTCTTGGGAATTTGAGGAAAGGAAATAACGTCTAAAGCTTTATGGTAGTGGGAGCTGAAGAGCTGTCGGGAAGCAGAGGAGGGCTGTTGTGATTCAGGATGTGTCTGACACAGAAAGATGAAGGTTATCCTGTGGTTTCCCCTCAGCGGATCTTTAGGAACCTTATATGGGAAACCAGCACGGATCTTGGATGGATTTCTGTTTTGACCATTCTTGGATCTTGACATTTTGTGGAGGGGAGGTCAGTTGGATTTGAGCCCTCACCCCCACAACACTTATGTGTGTATGACCACTGTCAGAGTTTACTCATTTGTCTGCTGTTTTCCAGAAGGATATTTGACCACCTAAATATTTATGTCTAACATTCCAGTTCAAGCGTTAGTCACAGCAACCATATGGTCAGAGATGGGGATGATTCAACCCCCCCTCAAAAAACTGCTCAGATGAAAACAAGTTTGCAATCAGTGAAGGAGCTGTATAATGTTTGCAACATATCCAGTTGTCCTATTAGATGTTTTTGGAGTTAGTGACTTCTAAACAGTTGTGTCATTGCTCTGTTATGATCAGAAGAGTATAAACATGCCCTGGTATGTTCAGGAAAGACATTACTCATACTGTAGGTCCTGACAGGGAGCATCATCAAAGCTCTTAATGTAGTGTGTAAAAAATAATAACGAGACTGTCTGCAGGTTTAACCCGAGATCAGGATAATTTTGCTGCTCATCTTCTCAGAGATGTTCAGGACACAGGACGTCCTAATAAAAACCTGCTTCTAATATCTAACAAATCATACATTAAGAGTTAATTTCTGAACTTCTTAACTTCTTTAGCTTTGTTAGGATTAAACAAATCATGTGACTACAAACAACAAAATTCTTTAAACATGGTACAATGGTACCAAGTTCCTGAATTAACAATTCACTAATCGTATTACACACATTAAAAAACACAAATCTGTTAACTTTGCCTGCACGTAGAAATACATAACTCTGTGCCCATAAAGCAAGAAGGTCAACACTTCACATTCTAAATTGGATGATGTCCTTTGTAGTGTTTTCATCTTCACTTTAATTTATCTCAATCTTAGCACAGTTGTTCTCAAAGTAGGTGGTGGGCCTCCCCCAGGGGGGCAAAGAGGTAATGAAGGTGACAAAAAGGCAATTGAATTTCCATTTCAATGTTTTCTTTCTTTATTTAACAATAAGGTTAATGACACTTTTGTCTGTACTTTCAATTAGAATAGCAGTTTTGTAGTTGTGAATATGAAGACATGGGGGTGAGGGGGCTACACAATAGTCCTTTCTAAAAAAAAAAAAAGCTTGGTGATCACTGCCTCACCAAGATTTGCTGAAGAGAGTTAATATATTTTCCATTTTCACCGTCATCGTCTTATTGTTGTTCTCATGTGATTTCAGGCGATGGCTGTGGACACACACTTCTGGGCTCAGAGTCTGGCACTTTGGCCTCTCAGTACTATCCTGGGACATACCCCAGTAACACTCGCTGTACATGGAGGCTTCGTGTGCCACAGGGACGCATGCTGAGGCTGCTTTTTGGGGATTTTGACATCGAGAGCAGTCCAGGCTGCAGCAACGGTTCTCTGGTGATCACTGCAAAGACTGGAGAACATACACTGGGTGAGGGTGTTCACCAGTCAGATTTTATTGTATGTGTTTAAACATCACACACATGCTCTCTCTGTGTTCTCAGACAACTGTTGCTACTCTTACTGAAGACACACAGAAACATGCCATTTCTTTGACAGAACAGGCCAGCCTCATTTCGCAACAGACAAATGCACAATTTCAAACCAGGTGTATCAGGTCATGCCTGGAGGGTACAAAAAATTGACAGCAAACCACAATGACGACAGACAGACCAGTTCAGGGGATAGAAATATTGTCTTAGAGTCTAAGACAATGTCTTTATCTGCTAAAGTCGTTTGTCTGACGGTCTAAGACTTAGGCTGTCCTGTCTGTGATTGAAAACCACAATCATGTCTTATTCTTGCAGTTGTAGTATCTGTTATTTATTGCATATGCGGTGCGCAATAAATATAGAACATGTAGAAACCTGCATTCATCTGCTTTTATAAACTCTGATGCTTGTGTCTGTGTGTTACAGGTCCAGTGTGTGGGAGACTTGATGCATCACAGAAGAACATGACAGTTAATAGTAATGAAGTGACGGTAACCTTCACGTCCGGCCCACATCGCTCTGGACGAGGATTTCTGCTGTCCTACGCCACAGAGCAGTATCCAGGTGAGAGTGTGAGACAGAGGTAGAGGTAGACAGAAACTATATTTCTGTCAGTGTTACTCTGTATCCTGACAGATTCATAAAGCAGCAGGTTAACTGGTAACAGGTTTGTATATTGAGTCCAAAGCCGAGGTATTTGAAACCAATTACCTAGGCTTTGGCAGTGCCTCACAGCTACAGGCTTGACCTTAAGAACCAATCATCTGAAGGTGACTGCTCAATAGTCTGCAAAATGTGGACATAGAGGACACAGACAGAGAGTTCACTAACTGACCTGCCTGCAGTCCAGATCTGTCTGCAAAAAGACATGTCTGGTGCATGGTGAAAAGGATAATCAGACAACACAGTAACGCAGATGGATGAAAACTGCTACAACCAGTCACAATAGATTGAAAAATAAATAAAAAAATAAGGATGTGACCCAGAGGTAAATGTGCGTCTTTTCAGAACATGTGTTCTTTTGTTGTATCAAATTCTTAAATTTAAAGAATTAAAGTTCAACAAATTTTTCATACATTTCAAACATTTTTTCAAAGTTTATACAGGTGTTAATTAATAAAATAAATTATTAAATGTATTAAAAACAAATAACCTGGAAATGGGGATTGGACTGCAGTCAAACTGATTGGTATAGCAGTACAACTCCTTGAAGAGTAAGTGTACTGTGCTGCAGAGTTGTAATACAGTGATTATGTTTTGAAGTATGTAAATATTAGAAAATATTTATCCTCACAGTGTTTCAGGATGAGCGTCACTAAGAATCACACATGACTGTCAGAAAAGGTCAGACTGACTGCTGTAGTGGATCTAGGGTTAAAACTGACATCCCGGTGAATATATGTGCGCCTGTGTTGTTGTGTACACACACAGTTGTCAGCGAGTGAGTTACTACCCATTGGCATTCACCCGCCATCTCCGTCTTTGCTATGGCCTGTTTGTTCAGAAAGCAAGAGTCAGACTCCTTGCAGGCTGAATGGAATGAGGCCTCAGGCTTCAGTTTTCTCCCTTCACTCATTTAGTTTTTTTCACCCCCACCCCCTCTCCTCCGTCAGCCTGTTACCACTACAAGCCCGTCCCGTCCTGTTACCCTGTGCCTGTCCCCGTGAGGCATCTCAGCAGAGAGGCGGTTGATTTAGCGGCAGCTATATCCACAAATCACAGAGCAGTTTTCATTAATGCATACACAGCATGTATCACACTGCCTTGGTGACATTTTGAATTCCAACACAACCAAAACAAAGGACAAGTTTTTGAGCTGTGTTCTTCTAATGATCACGTGGAGCCGTTCAGTCCGAGACCTAAACAGCAGTTCTACAGAACCTTGTCTCCTGCCTGGATGTTGAAAGTACCTGGAACAGAGTGTTTCATGGTTTCCTGTTTTGCCATGAGTTGTTTATGAAATCCATCAGTGTCTGGAGCTAAGTCCCTGCTCAGACATACAGTACAAACCACTGTCTGTTAGCTGTGATTACACCAGGACCAGCGGCTGTACTCGTCAGCTGTGACACAGTCACAGTAACAAAGAGCCTAGTCACATCCACAGTGATGACAGCTCATCCCCTAATTTCACACACAGACCATGCTACACTGTGACACATATAATGTGTTTGTGTGCTGGTGATATGACGCCTTTTAACGTACTGTAAAAACAGTTTAATGCTAATATTTAGTTGACTGTTTGGTTTACTGTTATGACATGAAACGCATGTTTCAGCATTGGTTCCTAAACACTGTGCTGGTTTCTCCAGCACCTTCTCTAGCTTGTTGTAGATAGGACTATGTTGAGCCTCACTCAACACCATAGCTGTGAACTTTATTTAACCACTCATTCCTACAAAACTGCTGTTCTCAGTGAACAAAATAAATCCAAGCAATCAGTCACCTCAGTGTTACACAAATAAAGTCAATGCAGCTAATGTATTAGCCTCACACCCAGCTGGAGTGGAGCAGACAGTGTTCACTTTAGCGTGGTTTTGAAAACATGGCATTGATGTCGGCAGGCCCGGAATAAAAAGCCCAACGAAATGTAATCAAACTGAACGTAGGAACATTTTCACATCGTGAAGCTGTTCGCAAATAAGAAAGAGCAGCTCACCACAAGATAAACGTCATGGCTGAAATATAGCAGACCAAGCCACAGAGGCAGCAAATAGAGATTAAAATACTCCCTGGTTTTGTACAGACCACTGTTAATACTGTTCTCATGAGTCTTATGTTTAACCATCAGTCTCTCCTCTGGGTTTCAGATCTTATTTCTTGTTTACAACGAGGATCTCATTTTAGCTCCCAGCATTTGAGGTGAGTGTTTGACTTCTACGCTTCCCCTTATAGAATCTCTTTCTATAGAACAATGGAACAATGGAGTTGCTCATTTGGTTTCAGTGTGTACTGCCCCGCTGGATGTAAGGATGTGGCAGGGGATGTATGGGGGAACTCGGAACAGGGCTACAGAGATGTAAGTACAACTTTTATTTTAATCTATCCGGACTGTCAGATTTTTTTTAAAAAACATTGCATATAAAGTTCTGTATATTTGGTCTTTTGGACAGACCTCGGTCCTGTGTAAATCTGCCGTCCATTCTGGAGCCGCATCAAATGTTGTGGGAGGACGTGTCACCGTGTATCGGGAGAGGAGTCTTACACTCTATGAATCCACATTTGCCAATGGGATCCTTTCAAAAATGTGTGTGTGCTTTTTGTTTTTATACCAAAAGTAGGGATGTCTGATATTAGCACAATTATGTAATATCGGTTAGAATTGTTATTGGTTTTTCCTCCGATAATGAAAACCCGATAACGCAATGCCTGGGTTTTTCCAAATATGCTGCAATTGCTTAAAGGGTCCTGAGACGTTTACCTCCATTTTGGGGGCAAACCGCTGCATATATTGGTATCGTAGGGCATAATCTTACTACAAACTAACTCTTAAACCTCGTAGTGGGGACCTGAAATATGTCCTCACAGGGACAAAGGGTCTTCGCAACTAGTTATTTTACCCAGAAATGTCTCCACAAGGATAGCTAAACCTAGACCACACACATATACACAAGCTAATATATTTGTCAACCTGTATATTCTTTCTTTTTTTCTTTTAACAGGGGGTCGTTATCTGAGAAGAAGCTTATCTTCAGGCAAGGTATGAAAGTTTTTTTTTATTAATGTACTTTTCTGAAAAAATACTAGGTAAAAAAAAAATCTGACCATTAAATTTTAGTGAAACCCACACTAATACACTTCATTGACCGTCCTCGTCTTCTGGTCTCTACACAGAATGCAACAACCTCCTGACTGCCTCTGTTTCTAACGCCTCGTCCTCCTGGAACAAAAATAGTCTAGAGGGACCAAGGTTGCCATCGTCCAAAAACATGGTTTCAGAACTGGAGTTTACAGTGTGGACAGCAAAGAGCAACGACGCCAACCCATGGGTGGAGCTGGAGCTGAGAGAAAGAAACACCATCACAGGTCATTTATATTCCCCATTTATAGAAATATTACGACATTTTAATCCAACCATTTAAAATTGGTTGTATTATAACCATAATGTTAAATACTACTACTAATTAAAGGGCTTAGTGGTTAAGGAAGCGGACTTGAGTCTGGAAGGTTTCAGGTTTGAGTCCAGGTGCCAAGTTACCACAGAGGTGCTCTGAGCATGGCATCGTCCCCACACACTGGTGGTGTGCTGTCACAATGACAAGTTCTTCACTTTCCTTCCTTCCTTCCTTCCTTCCTAATTTAAATAAAATAATAATAACACTTAGAAGGGCTTGATAGGATCCTTGTGAGTCTTCATGTTCAATATCAAATGGCACAAACAAAATTATAGACAAAAACAAAGAATCTCAGGCAGAATTTACCAAACAATCCCAAATGCTGTGATGCTGAAATAGCACTGAAAATGAAGATTGTTCATTTTGGAACTATTTTATCTTTGTTCTCCTTCAGGTATAATAACCACAGGATCAAATGAGTTCTACACAGAGTCCTACATTCTTTCCTACAGCAAAGACCGAAAGAATTGGAAGCTGTACAAGGAGGCTCTGAGCAAAGAACAGACACATATATTAAATATAAAATATATTTACACTGGATGTTTTCATTTTCAAACACTGATGATTTGATGTTGCAGTAGTAATTCAAATGTGACCTTCATGCTGTTTTTCTGTCAATGATTAACTGAGTTCGTTGGGTCCCAGGTCTTTCAGGCCTACACTGACGGTCACCTCAGAGTCATTAACAACCTCTCTCCTGCTGTGGTGGCTCGGTTTGTTCGGTTACAGCCACAGACTTGGCACGGAAGAGCTTCAGCTCAGGTCCAAGTCTTAGGTTGCCCTGTCGCGAAGGTCACACCAAGGTCACGTCCAGAAGGAGGTTAGATACGTCTCTAGTGGATTTATCCTCAAAATGAACTCTGAATTGTCTCCATGTCACTGACTTCTGTTTTCCATCTAACAGACTCTCCGTCTGATAAAGTTAAAATGGGAACACCACATCCACCCCCAAGTTCCTCCACCACCCCCTCTGAGATCCCAGTGTTGGTGGAGACAAGACAGAGTAAGAACCTACAGCACCCTCTAACTCTCCACACACAAAATTCACTCTTCTCTTTAGAGACGGATGTCTGTCACAGCAGTGAGAACTGAAGTGACAAGCAAATGTCCCGTAAACTCACCTTCAACACTGTGTACTTTGCAGTAAACTGCATTCCTTCGTCATGCTTGTACAACTGTTTACTCACTCCAACACTTGTCCCTCTGCAGGAACCAGTCAGTCTGTAATAGTGGCAGTGGGAGTGGTCCTGGGTTTGATAATGTGCTGCAGTTGTTTGTTGGCTGGAGTCTGGTGGAAGAGAAGGTGAGACATTTAATGGAATATTTTGAAAAGTATTTTAAACCAGGTCTCCCTGCTGATGTCAAATAACTAAGTCACGTTTGTCTAGCTCTAAAATACTTTGTTGTTTTCTCATAACAGGAAGAAAGATTCAGAAGTCAAGCATTCTTTACCTAAAAGTAAGTCATAAACAGATTGTATTTAACTTTACATAACTTTTTCATTCATAACATTCATCATCATCGGGGGGTCTCTGTAGATTCTCCTAGTTTTCAGGTGAAAAATCTTCCCTGCTCCCAATCCGAGCTCATTTCCTATCCTCTGGAACGGAACGTTCACGATGCTCTACCTCGTCCTCCTCTCAATGGTGAGAATTTTTTTTCTTTTTTGTGCACACTTCGTTGTACCTGGAACAGTCAGTGTCCTAGAGGTAAAAAAAAAATCTGACTTTTTATCGAAGGATGGTAAGTATCACCTCTCTGGCTCTGCTCTGGCTGGTCGTGGTGTGTTCAGCAGCACCAGGGAATTCCTGAAAGTTCCCATTGCTCTTCTCTCACACAGTGGACATTTGGTTTTGTGTAGATATGTACAATGACCAATAACCCTGATCTTCTTTGTGCTGCTTTTTCCAACTCCTCATTTTGAGGGCACTGGAATTTTTCCCTCCTTCATTTTTTCCCCTGGTCCCTGCCGTCACTGGTCAGTTTGAGGAGCTCATGCCAGGCCTGACAGGCAAACAGCTCTCTCCATGAGATGTCCATTCTTTCCCCCAGCTCAGCCCATCACCCCGTCACAGCATAAACATTCCTTTCTTTGGTCCACGGAGTTTCTCTGAAAGAGACCCTTTAGTTGAAGCTTGATAAAGAGCGCTCAGCCTGCTCCCCACTACCACCCCCACATGTACTCTCTGTGCCTCCCCCAACCAGTCCTCCAGCAAGTGAGGCCCTTCACTGAGGGGTCCAGTGATAAACAGGACAGAGGGTCAACACTAAGACAAAATGCAGCTCTCACCAAAGCCTGTCTAATTAAAATAGTTCTAGTTCGGAGGCTCACTGCGGCCTCTTGACTGGAGTCCGGGCCTCCCACGCCGGAGCCTCTTGTTCTGGGGTGAAGAGTAGGTGCCGATGTGAAACCTACTCTGTCTTCCCTCATCCCTATAATTAGAGGAGGTGTTGACCAGCCATGAAGCTCCTGGTGAGAAAAAAGAACTAATTTGAATCTGAGGAACGTACTAAAATCACTTAAAAATGTTCTCCTGCATAAATGGATGAACTTTGTCCATTTGGTTTAAATTTTTTATCCCAGTATTGTTTCACATGTGACCACATGGTGGGACGGTTCCCCCAGTTTCCTCACACAGCCCAGCATTTGAATACTGTATATTAAACTGACCAGATCAGTCTAGTCCCAGAAAACTGATCTGGTTGATATAACATCCTGTGACATTTTTAGGTCTATGTGAAACAGTCACATCGCCAGGTTTAAAACTCCATTATTCTGATAGAATAACAAATGTGGAGCGACCTGTGTGGATGGAGGTAGACTAGTGTCAAGTTTAAATGTTTTTCACAAAAGTATTTACATGCTTTAATCTAGTCTTAAAATTGTTAGGGAATCCTGACTATTTTAAAGGTACTCAAGACAACCTAAGGTTGGACAATACTTGATTGCCAACCTCAAGACAACCTAAGGTTGGACAATACTTGATTGTCCAACAGCTACTTGCTGCTGGTGGTGTACGTGAATGACACACTGCATAAAAACAACTTTGTGTTCCATTGTTTGCTGTGTCCTCACTGACTGTATTTGTTTCCTTCCCTCCAGACTATGCAGAGCCGACTGCTATTGGACAAAAGCTCGGCTCCACATTCAGACCAAACACAGATGAGGGCTACACCACCCCATTCATCCTGAACCATTATGACACTCCTGGAAACCTGCCAGAGTACGCTGAGCCACTTCCTCCAGAACCAGAGTATGCCACGCCGTTCTCTGACCCACCCGGTGAGCTCAACATGTCAGGGAAGATCAGCTGCGCTCATAGAATCCCTACATCAGCACCAGTCTCTGGAGCTGCGCTCACATCCAGCCACGCCCAGTATGACTGCCCCTCACACAGGATGCTCTCCAACGGCTACTGCACTCCAGTCGTCCACGCCAATGGCCCGCGACCAGTTAGCGTTGTGTACGCTGAACCCAAGTCATGTGACTCTTTACAGAGGAATCACACATACGAGGAACCCTTGTGAGCACAGTGAGCTCAGACACAGAGAAGAAACAGACTCTTGTTAGCTGACATGTGCACTGGGAGCAGAAAACCTCTTGGAGTCATCTCAAGTGGAGCCCAAGCTGTTCTTTATCAGGAGTATACGACAGGAGTCAGCCATCTGACAGGAGTCAGTGTGCTACTACTGTTCAGATGAGAGAGAACAGAACCATCCAGAACTGTTTACACACTGGTTTCCTTCCAGGAAGTGTGTAAAAGTAGTGTAAATATGTCCTGATGCACAGAAATGATGCAGGTTCAGACACTGTTTAATGTGTAAACACAAAGTGCACTTTCAGAAATGACTGTACAAACAGAGTTGTATTTAACAGATTAATAAAAATGTTACTTGAACCCCAAATATATTCTCTTCAGGGGAAAAAAAATAGTAGTCTGTAATGATGTTGCCATGACTGTATATAAACGCTAGATGGCTCTGCTTTACAATTTAACAATAATGACGGGTGTCTGCTGCAGCTTCTCTCGTCTCCGTTAATGTTAATTCGTTGTATTCGATGGAGAAAAGAGTTGACTTTATTATATTTATCAATAATGGTAAAGTAACAAATATTTGACCTTTTAAAAGTACTTGTATGGAGTTGTAACACAGCAGACAAACTCGACTTGTAACTGAACTCGTCTCACTGCAGTGTCTTGGACAAAACTCAAACATCTGCTCTGGCGTGGTATTTTCCATTTGATTGATTTTAAAAATACCGTTTTAAAAAATGTCAGTCCTTGTGTAAGAATACCACAAACTAATTAAAGAGGAAAAGGGAATGTACCAGTGTGTTCTGTGTGACTGATGCTTATCAAATGCTGTCTTTCTCACTGTGAGGGAGTATTACATGTTGCTGTTTTAATACGGCTGTTCAAAATAAAAAATACAGCAGGTAAAGTAATGTAAATAGTAGTAGTATAAATACAGCAGGTAAAGTAATGTAAATAAACACAAAGTATAACATTTTTTCTGTACAAAAAACAAATCATATACGAACCAGTAGCTAATAATTTATTGCCGTATGTTGCGATTTTCGTTTTGCGACAGATTTCAACAAAACAAAAACAGTTACGACAGCATGGCCCAGCAAACGACTGTTGACGTTGATTTTTTTGACACATTTAAGGTTGGACTTTCTATTCTTAACAGTTGATTAAAGGTTGTCTAAATTAAAACATGATGCAAGTTCAGTCCACGGAGAGGAAACTTTGGCTTTTTCAACACTAAGAATATTTGGTTCCACAGACTCAAATAGAAATGTTTAAGACAGTTCGTATAGAGTTCGCCGCAATTTTGCTATGACAAAGTTTTTTCATGGCACAGTTTCGTGTGGTTCTGGTCTTTCTCACCTTAGCCAATATCACCGGATCACTGGAATGGACCAGAGACTGAGTTCCTGTTATTTTCAAGCGTCTTGACCACACATCAACAGCTAACTCTCTGAATGGTACTGTCTTCTTTGTGACCCCTACTTAACACTTTAGGCCACGCCCTCACGAATTAGACGGATATTTGTAACCTGGGGACGTTTGCCCAAAGTAATAATTAAATATTTAAGTTTATCTGGCTCACAGTCAGACAGTAAACAGTATAACACAGATACTGTGTTATAAAGAATATTTGCCAAATTTCTCTGCTTTGCTTGTTTTATTTTTTTTTCCATAGCACCATTACTTTTTTATTTAGATTAAAATTCCAGTTTTAATACAGATACACCCTAGTCCACTTTGACCTTTATTAAACACTCAATGACGTTAACAGAAACTCAGCTTAAACTGATGGCACTCAAAAGGGAGAGAAGATTCCAAGATTCCACCTTCCAAGATGAAGGTGTGGTTGGACACAGTTGGTGTAGGGCTTTAGTTTACAATGACACATTGTCATGGAGCATTTTGTGGCAGTGTTTAGCGCTGATGCAGTATCAGGTCCTGTACATTAAGCAGCATTTAAGTCTCTGTCTGTATCTCCTCCTCCTCTCCCCCCTCATCCCCCCTCACCTCAGAAGAGTAGTGCACCAGAGTCTGGTGTCTGTTCCTGGATGGAGCATCTTTAAAACGTAAGCCACAGTCTTCACACAAATACTGACCGCCCTCCCTGTTGCTGTTCTGTTTCCTCGGGTCAGACTGGGCTGCAGTCGGCTCAGCTAACACTCTGAGATTTGCAGGTGGATTCGAGTCACTGTTTGAGCTGCCTGTCATATTATGGCTGGCCAAAGGGAAATTCCCAGGATAACTAGGAGGATAACTTCGGCTCGCCGCTCCACGCTGTGCCCCTCCAGCAGCATCTTCTCCACCACGTTCATGGGCCAGTCCGTGAACCGTGCGGTAGTGAAAACGGATTCCGGATCGGTTTGAGAAACCTTTCCCACAGATGCTGCAGATGAAGGGCCTCTCTCCTGTGTGAATGCGGGTGTGGATCTTCAACGCCCCTGACTGGGTGAAACACTTCCCACACTGGCTGCAGCGATAGGGCTTCTCCCCAGTGTGGGTCCTCTGGTGGGCTCGCAGCCCGGCTAGATGGGGGAACCCTCTGCCACAAAATCCACAGGAGTACGGTCTCTCCCCGGTGTGAATGCGCCTGTGAATCTTCAGAGCCCCCGACTGGCTGAAACTTTTGCCGCAGTCGGAGCAGGTGTAAGGCCGGGCTCCGGTGTGTACATTAAGGTGTATGCGCAGGTTGCTGTGGGAGTTGAAGGTCCTGCCACACTCTGTGCAGATGAAGCCAGACTGTTTTTGGGAATGCTCAGAGCGCTGGTGCTGCAGCAACTGGGACGGCCTGGAGAAGGAAGCTGAGCAGTGCATACAAGGATGCAACAGGGTGGAGGCCATGCTGCCCCTCTCCTCCTGCTGTTGACCCTGTCTGTGTTGATGGTGGAAGACGTGAGAACAAGAACAAGGAAAGCAGGGGAACGGTCCAGAGAGTTGTGAAGAGCGTGTATGGGCCAGCTGTGGGCAGGGGAAACAGGAGGCTATGGGGCAATGGTGGTGATGGAAATGATGGTGCGCATGCATGTGTGGAAATCGTGGATTTGAGTTGTCTTGTGTGTTTCGTATCTGCAGACCATGGTGACAACACCAGCAGGGAAACATGGAGAGACTGGACAAAGAGCCTGTAGGGACTCTAGGGGGTTGGGTCTCTGATTCTGACGCTGGGCTCTGAGTTTGTCCATCTGACACGTCCTCCTGCAGACGTCCGGGCGTCCTGGTCTCTAACTCTGAAGTGCTGCTGGTGCCTCTCTGGTCAGTGGTGTCTGGTAGACACATGCTGAGGCTCAGTAGAGCGGTGGTGGACAGATCTTTGGGCTTACACATTGTATCTGACCTCAGCTGAACAGGCAACGACTGTCTTGGTTTTAGTGTCGCAAAGGAAGGGGAAGAGTTTGGGCAGCCGGGGCAGACACAGGCATGATGAACTTCTAAATACAAGAACAATAATAGTTAATAATTCTAATACAACAATGAACAAGCAGTGAACCAGCTCTGATTTAGCGCTGACCTTCTCTTCTGTCTCTGGTCTCTCCCTTCTTCTGTGGAGCCCGAGGCTGAGTGTGTTGGCTCGGCCCTGCCTGCTGGGACTTTTCCTGGACTGGTAGCAGACCCTGTGTTGGTTGTAGAGGTTCAGGCAAAGCAGCTTTAAAACCCATTGTGATGCCACCACCAGCCATGCCCCATGTTGCATTTAGCACATCTGGCTGATCTTTGGAGGCATTCCCAGATGTGATGAGGTCCCCGATGAACTGATGCATCTCCATCCAGGAGCAGGAACCAGGCTGCAAGAGGCACAGGTGACACGAACTGTCCGCTCTTTACACTGGTGTTGAACTGTTTCTATTTCAGTGTGAAATGTTCTACTTGATCGTCTGCCTCAAGAGTTTCCACCCACACTCAAGTTCTATTTTTGGCTCTTTTGTTTCGAATATATTTGTGTATTTAAGAAAAGGTTGAATATAAACGCTATATGTTAGAGAATACTGTTAGACAGATCGTTTCTCCTAAAATAACAACAAACCATGCCAGCTAAAATAATGGTGTTAATGTGTAAAACACAGCGCCACATACTTACAATGTCGGTACACTTTTCTTTGTCCATGAATAGAAACCAAACTCTACTGTTTGAGCCAGAAAAATAGCTTAGTCGTAGACTGGGCTTGTCTCAGACCTGCTCAGCCGTAAACAGGCCTTTGTAACAAATAAAACAATAAAATATATGTTTTATTCTCTCCGTTACACAACTGCATCTTCCTTACCCGACTAGAATCGTTTTTTCCTGTCACCCTGACTCCTGCGCATACTTTACCTCCCATTGGTTGACGCTTACCCTCGTCACGAGTCCTAACCAACCAGAAAGCTGTATGACAAAACGTAAGCCAATCAGTTGCAGGAAAATGGAGGTTTTCGTCTGACGAAGGCGGGAGAAAAGAGCCTTCCTGAAACACGTCACCAGAAAGAACGGTGTGTATTTGCGCCTTCCCTCCCGTTGGGCCTTTTCCCTCTTCCTCTTTCTAAAAATGGATATTAATTAGCTATAATAAAAAAGAGGAATTTAACTGAAAAATCCCATTAGATATAGAAGTATGGTTAAAAAATGGCAGTAGAAAACGGGTGAAGCTAGAGTCTTCCCACAGAAGGTCAGGGGGCCATTCTGTTTTTTAGTTGTTGGTTGAAGAAATTGCATAAACATCTCCCCCTGTAATATATACACACACACACATAGGTAGTATTAAACAGGTGTTAAAACATTCTTCTCCAATTCAGATTGTAGAGACAAAAAGAACTTAAGTGAAGGGTTTTATCAGTTACAAGTTAAATTGAGTTTAAACAAAGAAAAACCAGTATGAATGTGTGCCAAGACTGTGAAGTAACTAGACCACAACACAACTCCTCTGAAGAAAACGCTAGAAGCAGAAATAAAGTCAGCTGAAAATCAGGGAGAAGTATTTCTGTATAACACACAAACAGAAAATTTAAACGCCCTGGAAATTGAGACTACTGATGTTCGCAATAGAAAAATACTCATCAGATGCTTCAGCTTGTTTTCAACAAGAAGTCTAGCAAGGTAAGAATCTAAAATGAAAAACAAATGTTAAAGAATATGCATACAAACCCTTTTCTAAAATGGTGAACTAACTACAGAAGGCAAACTTTTAATATCCAGTTAGCACAAAATCTCAACTTAAATGCTACAGTAGATAGAATCTGTGGTGTAGAGTGAAGGCCATTGTTCAAGCTAGATGATCATCTGATCTCAGAGTATGGAATTGCCCACTGATGTCTGATTGGACAGAAATACCTCTGCAGACGGTCCTTGTCAGTACGTGTTGACATGTATCTTAAACAACAACGCTCCATTACACAGAGAACTAAGATGACCAGCTGTTGACAAGTAATGTATTTCCTACTCGATTATTCATTGGTTTATTCTCAAAAGAAGGACATTTAAGTGATAAAAAGTATTTAAAGTTTCGGATATTTACACTGTACGTTGTGCTATAATTTTGTCATTCACCAAAGAATTTCATAAAAATCTTAAAGGCAGGAAACCAACAATACTATGTGTTAGCTAAACATCAACAAGAAAATACTAAACTACTAAGTCACAAGTTCTCATTCTATGACAGTACCAGGTACATGGAAATGTTTTAGATAGATCAGTGTCAAATGCGTGCAAGGAAACAATTTATCATGTTTTTAGTTACACAGAGAAAAATTTAAATGTTTTTAATTCAAAGAGTAAAATTGAGGTCAAAACGATACACGACACAAGCTTTGAATCCCAAAAGGAATATAATAAACTATGTTGTCAAAATGGAATATTATGACTCAATGGAAAGGAGTAAAACTGGAACTGGTCGACCATCCTGGTAGAACTAGTTCTAACATTAAAAATTCAAGCACTGATCTTAAAAAAAAAAGAAAAAAAGAAAATCAAACAAACATTTTTATATAAATATATAATATCTGCCTAGAATTAACATTTCTTTTTAACAAACTAAACCCAGTGATCATATTTCAGTTCTATCAAATCCAGAGGTTGTGCATTAAACCGCATTACAAAGCAAATATTTAATGATATATTTTTAAATGCAACTCAAATCTTTTCAAACTGTATTTGAGTGTAAACAGTGTCAGACAATAAAATGAACTAAGACTTTTTTGTAAACAATCAGTTAAGAAAATGGAAATGGATTTTTTTTTTTTGTTCCATCTCATGTACTTCTCGTCAGCATCATCAGGGAGAAATGTCAACCTCCATCTTAATTTCCTTATCGGGTTGATAGCGTGTCAAATTATGAGTGGTGGATGGATACAAACCAGAGGCCTGATGTTCTGGTTCTGTCTTCACATCTAGGATCATTTCAGAGGACGTGAGGTCTGTTGGTTCACTTTTCAATATTTCTGCAGTACCGTTATCTGCCTCTTCTGGTTTTACATTGGAGGTTACTTTACTGTCACCATTTTTAAAATCCTGTCTTTGAATACTATGACCCTCTTCTGTTACGTCCACTTTTAACGGCTTTCTGACTGTGCCAAGGGGAGTGTTGCCAACAGCCGACCTTTGGGACAAATCCAGAGGTGCTTCACATTCTTCGACCATATTGCTCGTTACCAAATTCACCGTAGGAGCTATCTGACCTACAACAAAGGTGTCCATGCCAAAGTTTGCGGAAATGGAAGATGAGAGAGGCAGGCTGTCACTTTGGGAACAGACAGGAACAAAGAGCATGAGATTAACACCAGGTGTGGGCGCTTTGTCAAGTGATAGATTCCACATCCCGTCTTCTGCATCATTTTTACTGGGCACAAGCACCGGACAGATGGAGGTGTTTGGTGAAGGTTTTTCTACGAGAACACTTTCCTTTGACAATAAGTTCTTTGGCGTTTGCTTTTTCTTGGAAGCAGCCTGAGATAGAAAAGACAACACAGAAAAACCCATTACCAGCCTACCAATTATTCTTCAAAGAATCACAAAACAGCGTCGCCAACAGTGCTAATTTGTTTTTACAAGAAGGTCAAGAAAACCAAAACCAGTGGAATACATCTGACTACTTCCAACTCTCTTGTACTTTTAATCCATAGTTACAGATTTGTACACATATACATACTCCGTGGTCTGATGGAGACAAAGAAGAACTGAAACTTACCACAGACTGAGGGTTCTGTCCACAGGTCTTGAGGTGACTGTCGTAGTTCTGCTGGTGGGGAAAGCCCAGTCCACAGCTCTGACAGAGGCAGGGTGACTTGCCGGCATGGCCACCCATGTGCGACATCAATAGCAGGGCTGACCGGAATCCTTTTCCACATTCCGCACATTTCAGAACTCTCTGGTGAGCCCCGGCATGTTTCTTTAACGCTTCAGTAGTGTCAAACTTCTCTCCACACTCCAAACATCGGATCTCGTCCCCTTTGGGCTCCTGGTTGCCCCAACAGCCAGTGTCTTTTTTGTGCTGCTGGAAGTCTTCCTCACTCAGAAACTCTCTCAAACAGGCCACACAGTGAATGCTCTGAGGTTGACATTTGTGCTGACGGTACAGCTTAGCCAGGCGGAAGTGGCAGTGACATTGTGCGCAGGTGTAGGGTAACAAACCCAGGTGGGAGAAGCTGTGTCGCAGGAGGGTAACTTTCTTACTAAAGACCTGCATGCAATCGGTGCATTTGAAACTGCCGCAGCACGTCCTCTTCTGGTGACGTGCTAAGGATTTTAGGGAGGAGAGTTTCCGGCCACAGACTTTGCACATTGTGTCCGGCATACATTTGTGCAGTTGCACATGAGCTTCACACATCTTCAGGCACGTGAACACACGTTTGCAGCGGTCGCACTCGTAAAACTCATCCTGAAGGTGAGTTGTGGACAGATGGTCTTCCAGATCACTTTTTGAGGCAAAAGTCATCTGACATACACGACACAGGACGCGTTCAGTGACGGTCTGTGCATGTGTGCGAAGGTGCACTCGGTAGTTGCGGTTCTGGGAGAAACGCTTCCCACATTCCGCACAGCGATAGGGACGAACTCCAGTGTGCAGGTTCATGTGATCTTGGAGTTTGAATTTGGTTGAAAATGTCAGACAGCAGACACTGCAGGTGTGGCCACCTGGAAACACTGGACAAGACAGATTGGCATTGAATTGTACAGAAGTAAAAGAAACATTCTCACAATGCCTGTGTTGTTGTTTTCTAATATCTACATGTATACAGACAGAGGAAGCATTTCCTCCAACAGTTTAAAAGTATCATGGGGAAAATGGCCTTCCTGTCCATTACAGTAGCATGGCGGTTATGATTGTAACAGGATGGGGTGAAAGTATGTTAAAATGTATCACAATGGTTACCAATGTCAACTGGTTTTGAACTGGTGTTAACTATGACTGTGTTTTTTGGAAATGTGAACCAGCCCTAATCAGGAATGTGGAAATTCCACAAACCTACTCTGAATGTGATATTTTTGAGTTTTGAAATTTGAGTGTTCAACGCAGTTGGGTATATGGTGGAGGAATCTCTTTTGAGGGAGTGTATTTAGTACTAAACCCTAGCCTGATTCAACCGGATGATACATATTTATATAAACACAAATATATAATTTGATATTTATTTTCTATTTTGACAGTTGAAAGATCTTGGGGAATTAAAACCGCCATACAGCCTAAAGTTGAAGAGTGTAGGATATAAAACTATATATGTATATATATGAGAATATTCACTTTAATATCTACAGTGTTAATTTAGCTTGTATTTTTAAAAAGTTAACTCTACCGTGGCTTGCTCCTTCTTCTTCCTCTTCTTCGCCCTCGCCCTCTTCTTCGTCATCCTCTTCTTCGTCAAATATGTCTGATACTTCACTGTCATCCGACTCGTCCTCGGATGCGGCTGCTGTAGTTTCTGCATCTTGTTGACTCTCTGTTGGAGTTACTTTCGTGCTCGTTTTTATGGGCTCCGATCCTTCGGATTCAGCATTGGATAGCCTTTTAGATTTGCGTGTGCCACTGGAGAGTGAAGTAGGAGAATGACTGGATGTTCCTCCAGCCGAGCTCTGCTGCTGCGTTAGGATGTCCGGGAATCCCATCTCAGTTAGCTGAATATCTATGGTGTATTCAATTGACATGGCTGCAGTCGTGTTTACCACGAGGTGTAGAGGTGTTTGGGTGCGTAATTACCGTTGGCAGTAGTGCCCACCGGCGAACCTAATTCAAATAATAATAAAAAAACAGAGAACATACATGGAAACACTCCAACGGAGGTTACCCGACAACTTTCCTTTGAAATTTTTCTAATGACACACCTTGAAGCCCTGTTCGCGTCCTCGTTTACCTGGCAGATCGGTGATGACAAAGCAAGGCTTTAGAACAAAAGCAGATGAACCGAAAATGGTCTAAGGTGTTGCCTTCATGACGCTGCTGCAGCCCAGATCACTTAACAAACAAATAATTGTCATGGAGATGTCTAAAATAGAAGGATAACCTGACTTAGTTCCAATCATCCCAGAGATGACGGAGAAATGAAGACGAATGAGGTAAAGCAAGACGAAAAACAAACGAGGTACCTCTATGAGCGATAAACAGATTTCAAGGTGCTCCAGCGCACCCAGTGTTTCGGGGTGGTAGTACATGGCTATTTAATTATTTCCCAAATCTGAAACTAAATGTAATGGTAAAATGTGTAGAATTCGGCTTTGCGTTGCTTTTGATTTACCCTTTCAAAAATTTCAGATAACATTAATTTTATTATTATATTTTGACTTAATTATGTAAATTGTTTTGACATTTGCCAAGAACCTGCAGTTGTAAATAGCTAGCTTAACTGTTAAATGTAATTGTAAATTATATCTGCCAAACCAAACTAAACCTATAGTGTTAGTTATATACAGTGTTTACATATCCTTTATCCCACACTTGTGTATCATTAATTAGAATCAAAGAACATCTTTAGTGGTCAATTTGTTTTATCAGAAGTCATTTGCTGTACATATTGCCGAGAGCCTCTTTAAAATGTTTCACCACAGGCAGAACTGACCATATTTATGGTCTAAAAAGTGGTTTATGTTATGGCCTCTGTAGGTCCACCCTTCGGAGTGTAGTTATCCTTCACTATAAGACATTTCTCAAGTGAAATCAGTATAAAAAAATGTCAATTTAAAAAAGAAAATAACAAATCAAGCATTTTTTCCCAGAAGCCTCCCTTTGGAAAGCATGTTTTTATTAGATTTCTTTGCAGTGTTTAGACACGTTGCAGTGAGAAAAAAAAATGCAATCAATGAGTAACTCGATATACAGTTTCTATCTGGACTCACGAGTATTAAAAAACAATGAAGTCCATTTTAGAAATGTCTATGACATTAGCTATGACTCTAAATAGTGGAAAAATATAAAGTAAAATATTTTACTGCAAGACAAATTGGGGACCGTAGGGGATGATTTCTTTTTCACAAACCACAAAACTCCACATAAATCTGGAGCATATGACCAAAATAAATGTTACCAAACTGTAAGTGTTGTCTTACCAATACCTCTGCAATAAGGCCCAATTTGAAAGAGAAAAAAAAATAGAAATATTTAATGTGAAAAAAAAAATTCACAACATGAATGAGAAGCTGTACATTACATTTCCTTTGACAAACACAATAACATAGATTTTAGCTAAGAATCTGTTTTGCTTCAAACTATGTGTTTATCCAATTGGTTTTAAAATGATAAAAAAATAATCTTAAAAAATTACCATGAACTAGATTAAACAACTCGAGTAACAAATTCACACAGCACACGATTCACACCTAAAAAACAGAAATTTTAAATTTCAAAAGTTAGTCAAAACAACAAAATAAAGATGGCATTTGACAAATGAATGATGAGTGATTGAACAACATCTGTTTAGTCAATTCAGGGGTGTCTGTCTGTAGTTTTATCAGTCAAACCCAAAAATTTGCTAAAATGTCATTCTCAAAAACATTCCAGATACATAAAAGACTAACACAGAACAACAAATTTTCAATAGTTTAAAAAAAAAAAAAAAAAAAAAGAACAATTCCTGGCTAAAATCTTGAAAAACAATACACTTTTCTGTAATGTCCTTGTGTGAATTATCTCTTTACACTTGGGTTTTCAGACTTCTCCTCCTCCGTGTGGCTTTTTTGGTGAGCTATCAAGGTGCGCTCACGACCAAAACTTTTCCCGCAGGTTGGACAGGAAAAGCGACCAACTGCGTGAACACGTGTCATGTGGGCATCCAGCTGCTCCTGGCGGGTAAAGCTTTCCTCACATTCATCGCACGGGTGGGCTTTGCGTGGGGTGTGTTTCTCCTTTTTGTGAGTACGGAGCTGAATCAGCGTGGGGAACGTGAAATCACAATCAGGACACGGGTGCTGACGAGCCGGAGCTGGCTCTGCCTTGGGCTTCTTCTCTTTTACAGGAGCTTGGCTTTCAACTTCAGGACTTTTCTTTTCTTCCGTGTCAGATTTTAAGGCTGCCTTAGACGGACGGCCTCGCTTTCCTCCGCCTGGTTTTCCTTTATCCTCTGCTGGAGTTGCTGCCGACTCGGATGCACTGCTGGCCTTTGCAGATTCTTCACATGTCTCTGCTTCCTCTTTCTTTTTACGCTTGCCTTTTTTGTCAACACTCACTGACGAAAGCTCTTCAGCTTTAGAAGGTCGTCCGCGTTTCTTATTGGTTGAAGCGCTGCCATTGCACTGCTGGCCTTCGGAGTTTTTCTCCTGGTGAGCTACCAGTTCTGGTTCAGTTTCAAAACCTTGACCGCACTTGTCGCATCGATGGGTTTTTGAGGTGTCGTCTTGCTGTTCTGCAGACTCTAAATCTGGGCGAGGATGCTCGCTCAGGCGATGAGCACGCAGAAGACCGGCACTCCTGAAGACTTCATTACAATCTTTACAAACCAGCTGTCTCTCTGGACACACTTGTCTTCTATGAGATGTGAGCTGCATCAGTGAGAAATTAAATCAGATATACAATGTTAAATCCAAGAATCAAAATATTCACCTAGGGTATTTGTATGTAAAAACAAAGTCAAAAAGTACTAATTTACATAATTTAATACAAAAAATCTAAATCAAATGACAATAGTATTAGAGGCACCTCAGAAAATGTTTTGAAGCTCTCCTTGCAATGAATACATTTGAAGGGCTTGTCATCCTTGCTGTGTGTTGGCTGGTGCTGTGTCAGTTCCTCAGATGATTGAAATGTGCGGTCACACACATAGCATGTGAACAGTGTGTTTCCCTTTTGAGAAGAAAAAAAACATTTGAGTGTCTCTTACCTATTATAGAAAGTGTAATAGATGACAATGTAAGAATTGCATAACAATGACTAGAGCAAAAGAATATTAAAATACATGAACACGTGTGATGGGATGTTAATAAAATCTACATTTAAATGGTAGTATCGCTCACCTGCTGCAGCTGTTGCTTATACTCTTCTCTGTGACTCTTCTTCATGTGCCTTTCTTTGGCTTTGGCACTGCAGAATGTGATGAAACACTGAAAACACTGTAGGTTTTCATGCTGGTCTGCAAAGTGGAGGATCATAAAGGAGGTAAATCAATTGTCATTTCTTGACTGATGCCCTGTCTGCACAAAAACGTTTCACATCACTTTTTTCTGGATTATATCAAAGAAGAACTTACAGGGCTGCACAGACGGGGGAGGAGGTCCATTTAAACTGACGGGTTTACGTGGTTCTGCTGGCTTTTCTGCAGGAACTTCCGGAGGTGGATCAGGTAATGCCCGTCCCATCACGATATCCTCAATGTTTAAAATATCCGAGTCCATCCCGATAGAGTGGTTGGTCTCAGCAGACGCTCAATTATACTTTCTGATAAAATAAATAAAGAAAATATGTAAAGAAAAAAAGTAGGGTAAACCGTTAACCACATAATCGTTTGGTGTATAGTTGTTCAACAACGAAACGAATATCTACGGGTCATGTATAAACAACCTGTTCACTAATTTGATTTAAAAAAAAAGTAAAGTGACGTATCACTACTGATGAGGTCAGTCTGAGTAGTGCTCTTATTAAAGCAACAGTTCGGACAGAATTACGCTTTTAAGATAAGGCTTCGGTTTCTTCAACAGTGTCCCTCAGGTAGTCGCCTGGTTAACTTTCACGTACTGTACATTGCCGCTTTAAGGCCTATGGCTAAGCTACCTAGCTGCACACAAGCTACTGAGCCGCCAGAAATCCGAGACTTGATTGAGACTTACCAAAAAGCCTATCTGCTAAATTGTACTTGTTAGAAAACAGCCAGACGCAATGTTTTTGTGTACGTGTGTGTAGCTAACGAAGCCACTTAAAAAAGCTGCTCATCGAGCGGGCGAACCTAAACTAGCTGTTAGCGCTAACAACAAGGGCTGCCATTCAAAACGCATTGAAGACTTTTATTGCAACTACTCATAGGACAGTTTTTCCTGCAACTAAGCACATCTAAAATTTTAAACAAAATTATATTAATACAAAATTCTTAGCACATTTCAAAATGCTTCTATTGAACAATA